ATAATATATAATAGGGACACTTACTCATTGGCGCACGGGCATGCTCGAAGCCAGTTGTGCTATTGAGGTTTTCAGCAGGTTTTGGGCTTTGGTGTGTAAACGTATCACGAAGGTAAAGGATTTAGTGTATTGGTTTTCTTGCAAAGAAGCACACATCCCCACTCAGCTTGGGGGCAGACATTTTGGTGTTACAAATCGATTGCTGATAATTATATGTTTTTGTTTCTTCTGTTAAGATATATTGAACTCTGTATATCATGATGTTTTGTGTACTCTTCGGGAATGCTTAAAACTGGAAGTGCAGGTTTTGTACATGTTATCGAATCAGGCTAGATCAGATGTGACACTGAGAGCATACAATGGGCGGAATCCCATAGTTTACGAGCTTGGTTACCAGGTTCAAAGATGCGCACTTTATTTGTATCTTTAATTCAGAGTTTCCAAACTATTGATTAAGTTAAAACAATATTTTATAGCACAAGTTCATATTCTCATTGGTATGGATAGTCCCACTGATAATACTATTGTAAGAAATGTATTGGAGGCTGGACAGAGGAGGCCACTATGCCAGTGAGTCGCATCTTCTTTACTATGTGACAATGTGCTTAAAAGTCAGCAGGGTTCTCGGTGCAATGATTTTAGTTCTTTATCAGGGTTTCTTGGAACAGTTGAGTTATTGCACATTGTGTGTTCCGATGTCGTTTTTTGTGTGAACTGTTTGTGTCTTATTTATTGATTAGTTGAAGACGGATATGTACCGAGATGATGCATGGGTGGTCACAGGTTTCACAGTTATGACCTTTTATGCATTTGAAACGTTATTTAAAGTTGGAAGGAATATATGTTTCGAGCTTTAATAACAAATATGTCCTAAGGAAGGAAAGCATACTCCGACCAAGCTCCGTGAACCATTTCCGAAATCGCCTACGATCTACGATCTATGACTGCGTTGTGTTTAACTTCCGTACGAGTCGAACAGAGGCAAGGAGGTATTATTGCATTTATAGAACGACGGACTTGCACCTATAACTGTTTGAACGACGTCAATGTATATATATCGTCCTAGCCAATGAGGTACCAAGCTGCAGTTTAAACTGAATACCCTATTATTCACACAGTATGCCGACTCCAAACTGACCAGTGTTACTTTTAATACCTAACTGCCGAACACAAGACAACGTACGAAGTAATACAATCTTTAAACAATCTTTGATCCACTTATTCAAGCTGGACATAGTATGCCGACTCCAAACTGACCAGTGTTACTTTTAATACCTAACTGCCGAACACAAGACAACAATCTTTAAACAATCTTTTGATCCACTTATTCAAGCTGGGATAATGAATACTTGAGACTGCATAAAGTTTGTGCAATACCCTAGCAATTTGACAGAGGGTGGAACTAGAAGATTTGAATCAGCTTCTTCAGCTGGACGAGCAAACACTTTAATTACTAACAAACAATTATGCAGGTATATACACATGCAAACAAGTAGCGCAGCATTCATGATTAATAGCTTCCATTTAGGCATTTATATTCATATAATGAGTTGGTTTGTATGATTATTTTGGCCCTTTGGGCGCACCGTAAATTGATTTTACAGGAACACTTGTGAGTGAGTGAGTGAGTTGATAGTTAGTGTCACATCGGCAATATTTCAGCCATATCATGACCAGAAAACATTGCATATTCAAATCAATAAGTTTAGAACGTAAACACCTGTCGTTGATGGACAGTAAAACTACTGGAGTATCACAAATTTTGGCTTAAAACTAGTATCTTACTCTAAAAAGATATCACTATAGGCAATATATGGGCTATAGACATAAAAACGGGTTACAGATCGCCAGCAACTGATGGGGTAGATCACCCTGCTAGGGACCATGGGGACTTACAGTCCTTTCAGCTACCTCCATGGACCCTAGCTCGATTTACACCACCCCCTAAGTCGCTGGCGATTATAAGAAAATTTAGCCATAATTTAAAATCTCAAAATACTACTTTTTAAAAAATCTGGTAAGTTTCAATTTACTTTGAAAGTTTTGGGACTTACGTACCGTCTCAGGAGGACAGCTATGTTCAAAGACGAGCTTGACAAGTGTACACGAGACATAGTGCTACAGATTCCTTTGCTCGTGTTTAGTGTGATGTGAGCAAAGACTGTGAACGGAATGCCAACAAACGTTAGTGCAGTGATCAGCTTGGTTGCCTGCTGCCTTTTTACTGCATTCAACTAGCAGTGCACCTGGACGTAAGAGTTTAATATGTTTACCTTCAACTTCAACTCCTACTGTACGTACACCACTGCACGTGGTTACGGAATTCCTTAGGCAGCAGGGTGTAGAGGTGATGGAGTGGCCAGCATGCTCTCCAGACCTCAACTCAATTGAGCATGCCTGAGATGATCTCGGTCAAGGTGTGGACCACAGAGCTCTAGTAGAGGAATGGAATGCGATTCCGCAGGCTTTCTTTATGAACTTGATAAGGAGCATGAGAACAAGGTGCACCTGTGTCTTGGATGCGCGAGGAGGGTACACAAGATATTGAATGACCGAGGGCTTCCTGTTTGTCATTTTCATTTTAGGGGGTTGGTCTATACAACTGAAGTTTGCTGGTACTGTTTGAACTTTTTGTCTGTATGTCACGTTGTGTCACGTTTGTCAACACATTAAACATTATGATGACGCTCATAATTTTACTATTTCTAAGAAATGTGCTATATGTCATTTGATCCTTTATTAATGACGCCGAGTATATACTATTTCAAAACACAAACGCATAGGCATTGTGTATTTTTAAAAATCTATTAATTACCTATTGTGTTCAAACAATCGTGAAAATATTTAACAAAAAAGTGTTGATAACATAATTTTACACAATTGTAAAAGTAAAAAATCAACTTTACCTGAACATGTTGATTTTGCTGAGATTTTTTACAAGGATTAAAAAGGCATCACCACAATTTCAACAGAAATCACCTTCCAGTTGAAATTATGCAGCAAAGAGCATGTACTGTCTGGCCATAAAAATCCAGATTACTTTCGGAAATTGACATTCGTTTTGAAGAAGTTTCAAGGTCAAATCACTTCGCCACGTCTTGACGCTGCGACATTGAACATCGCCATTGAAAGAATGCACGCTGGAGATTATCAATATTCTGTTGCCTGGCGTCTGAATGTTAGTCTGAGCACGATATCACGGCTTGCAGCTCGTTACAACCACACAGGTATAACACATGACCGTCCCCGTACAGGCAGACCTCGAGTCACCACTGCAGCCCAAGATCGGTACATCCAGGCTCTACATTTGCAAAGGAAGGTAACTCGCTTGGCTGCAAAGGGAGGTAACTCGCACATATCATATGCCATCACAGTGACTAATAGTTAAACACGATAACAGTACAACAGCCATTAATCCTTGCTATTTTATGAGATGCCTTATGTCTGCAAATGGAGAAGGATTTTCTCTGTAACAATGGAAGTTAGATAAATAAATCTTTGCATCCTTATCGAACAGATAGTAACAAAAATAGGTGACTTAGAAACTTCTGAGAGTTACTTCTCTTGCTAAACGTTTTTTTCATATCTTGAGGATACACACTCATGATCCTTGATCAATGTTATTGTTAGCAAATATTCCCCCAAACTACATGTAGTTACTCAAGAATGATTAAGAAAATTGGTGCCATTAATATATTTGTTTTATGTATTTATTTCAAATTTAAACGTTTTTCTGATGAGATAAAGAGCCCAATATGCAAATCCTCATCTGATGGCTCCATTTGGCTATTTTCTACTAACATTTATTTCCATATTATTAATTACTGAATTACACACATAACTATTTGTGTCCAGTGGCGAATTATAGTGATGAAAGTGTTTTGCTTTTGCTTTTCTTTCAACTGTGCCATGGAATTGAATTACGAAATATACTTGAATAATCCAGCATTGGATGTCTACATATGTATGACGTGCAGCCCAACATACTTTTCATAGGTTTCAAAGAGTGTCATACGATCCATGCTCTGTAAAGCTTTTACGTCAAACATCTGATGATCTGGCGAACACTTCAAAATTTGAAGCGTTGGTGACATTGCATTATATTTTATTATATAGACAACATATACTGATCATTGATCTTCTAGCTTTTGTTTACTGGGGGCTAATCAGTGTTATCGATCCATTCTCATTATGTGCCTCTCACGTTGAATGATACTGAGTAATTATTAGTTAAGGTACCAAATTGAGTCGATGTTTCGATTTACAGTTGCGCCAAGCGCAATAATGAATAACACAGAAACGATAATTAACGGAATTGTGTTAATTCAGAAGATATAACTGTGTTTAATGCCATCTCCATAGAAACACACACTCATGATATTTTATAAATGCTGACGAACCCAGAAACCTTTCATTCATTAGTAACGCCTCGACTTAAACATACGTCTGAGAATATGCTGAACGCCAGGGACGTTATTATCTTGACATGCATGCTGCAAGTTGCACCATGGAGCACATGTTTAATGTCTGACGGAGAAGTCAATGACGCCATCTTAGAAGGCTACAAAGTCCATCACAAGCCAAGCCATGTAGTTAACCTTACCTTTGCAGCAGGATTGTTATCTGTCCAAGAACTAGATAATAAAAAGCAGTTTCTCAGCAGCACCGTGTGGATGGTCTTCTCGTGGTACGACCATCGTGTTGTTTGGAATGCTTCGTTGAGCTCAGAGAAAAGTATTCTTGTGGACTCGAACACATTCTGGAAACCTGAATTGACTATAAAAAATAGTATAAAGGGACAGGAGCTACTGCAGAATGGAGGTTCACTGATGGTTACCAGTCAGGGGAATATTCGATGGCTTCTCACAAGAGCAACAAAAACAAAGTGTCCCATAAACATTTACAAGTTTCCTTTCGATACCCAGATTTGTGAAATTGAAGTTGGTGGATGGTTCGGTGACATCAATAGAATACATATCTCAAGGGAAACAGACATTAATATGGAACAATTTGAAGAGAATAGTGAGTTTGAAATCTCCGCAGAAAGAATCACGGAAAAAATCCGAAATATAAAAGCGAGATTTCTTATAAGCATCAGCTTGAAGAGACGCCCCCTGTTCTACATCTTCACTGTCCTGCTCCCCGTGGCCCTCCTCCACTTCCTCAACAGCTTCGTGTTCCTGCTGCCTTCACAGAGCGGAGAGATGACCAGCATGGTCGTGTCTATCCTCCTCAGCTTCCAGCTGTTTCTGTCCATCATCAGAGATCCCCTGCCCGAGAACTCCTTGACCGTCAGCCTCTTCAGTCTCTATGTCTCTCTTGTCAACTTCACCAGTGTCGTCATCGTCGTTGTCAACATCATCCTCCTCAAAATGAAGGAGAATCCGACACCGAAATGGATCTTAATTATGTATAAGAAAGACAAACGTAAAGTAGATGTTGAGATAGGCAATGTGGAGGATGAAGAGCAGGGAAGACCAAAGTGGGAAGATATTGAAACTAAACTGAACAAGGCTTGTTTTCTATTTTTCTTTGTGTTCAGTTGTGGTGCAACGGCTGCAACGCTTGGGATGCTGATGATGCTGTAGCGGTCGCCATGCACACAATTTGCATCAAGATGTCTTTGCTTGTTACATAATGTTGCAATCAGTAAATCTGGAAACAACCGACTCTGGACAAAACAATCCAGTCCCTGACATTGCGGAGAGAAGACCACCATGGTCGTGTCAATCCTCCTCAGCTTCCAGCTGTTTTTGTCCATCATCTGGGACTCCCTGACCGTCAGCCTCTTCAGTCTCTATGTGTCTCTGGCCAACTTTTCCAGTGTCATCATCGTCGTTGTCAACACCCTCTTCCTGAAAATGAAAGAGAAGGCACCATCGAAATGGATGTTTAGAATGTGAGTTACATAAATTTGATATTGTCAGTGTCAATGTGGAGGGTGAAGAACAGACGAGGCCAAAGTGGCCAGATATTGACATTAAACCTAACAGGACCTGTTTTAAATGCTTCTTTGTGTTTAATAGTAGTCTCACAGCAGTGTTTTTGAGATGCTGACGAGATAAAGAAGACGTGCAAATATTGCCCTGCCCTACCATGTCAAGTGTGTTTAAAGTATAGAATGTCAACGCCGGAGAATAATAGGTCTCGAGTCTCGACTGACACTAGACTCAAAATGGCAAGGTAAATTATATTACATGACCTACAACGTCAGTTGTCTTTGATGGTATCTTAGGATACAACTATGCTTATTTAATTATATACAGATACTACGGTAATAGCTTAAGAAGATTAATGTTATGTATGTATAACGTTTGTTACAATTAACACAAATTGCTGCTTGAACATGGGCAAGCTCATGCTACAGTAACATGGGCTGATACTATACGCTTTGAGCTCTTGAAGCATTTCCCGAACTATGGACACATCTAGATAAATTTGATGGACTTCCACCTTCGTGGCACAATGCCCTTGCAGTACCTATACCAACGCCTGGCCGGGATCATAATAATTATTCTATCAGACCGATATATTTAACAAATTGTGTTTGTAAAAGCATGGAATGAATTGTAAATAATAGATTACTATTGTATGTGGAAACCAATAGCATAACTACAAATATACAATATGGTTTCTGGAACAATGGAAGTACTATTGATAATTTAGCACGATTGGAGTTGTTTGTTACAAATGCTTTCGGGATGAAACACATAGTCAAAAAGTTTCTTTGATCTTCTGAAAACACACGATACTACTTGGAAGCAGGCCTTTTAAAGGATTTAGGTTGGAGAGGTCCTTTCTCTCAGTATATATCGCAGTTTTGAATTCGAACAAACAGGCAACTTGAACTCCAAGCAGGTTTAACCCTGCGTGATTATTATAATCAGGATCAGGGTGTTCCACAAGGCAGTATTTTGTCTGTTACATTATCTAATATTAAAATAATATTTATTCAAAGGTTTCAACTGATTCTGTTGATGAATCGCCTTTCGTGGATGATTTTAATGTTTCTTGGTAAATATATGCATACAATATACAAATCTGTCTCAATGAAAATTCACAAATGGTCACTTGAAAAAAGCATTAAATCTTCTAAATAAATAACTGTTCTAAATACATTTTTCACATTTCTGCAGAAAATATACACTGCATAAAGACCTAGAACTATTTCTGAATGGCACCCCAATCAAAGTTGTAAGGAGGCCAAGGTTTTGGGTGTTATTTTTCACTCCCATTTAACTTTTTTGCCCAATATTAAATATCTTAAAGCTAAATGCTTGAAGGAATTTGATTGTTTTAAACATATTTTATTCATTCAAGAAAAGGATTGGGCACAAGTTATCCAACTTAGAAAAGCCCTCTCCAGATAATTACACAATTCATCTTACAACAAAGTACACAAGTGACAGACATAGGCTAGGATATGTACAACAGATGTTAACTGAGAAAGCGTTTTGTTTGAGAGATATAGATATGTACATATTTGAAAACATTCTGGTTGTCAGTGATTGAGAGACCTGCATTGCCTTGTAAGATAAGATTAATATCAATCAGTGTTCTATTTTTGACAATATGTTCTAAAGATTTTAACAGTTTATGTCTTTGAATAGTATACAAAGGACATTCAAGGAAGTAATGAAAAACATTCTCACATCTATGGCCACATTGACATGATGCGTCATTTTTTACATTTATTCTATATAAATCATAATTAAGTGTACTCGTCATATATCTTAATCTAGTGTGCATAACATTGAACTTCCTTATTCCATATGAATAATATATAGGTGCACATTTTTCCTGCACGTGGATATAAGATTTAAACGTGGCAACAGAGTCGCAATTTCTAATAGCTAAGGGAATATTATTCCACACTTTAACTGTTGATGGAATAAAAGATGACGTTGAGTACCTCAGTCTTGTATATGGTTGACTAAAGTTATTTGAGTTTCTTAACTCATAACTTGTCTGGTTGCTAACTACAGGTGGGAGTAAATCTTGAAGAAAAACTGGTGTCAGGCATTTTTTTAATTTTATAAAATAATGTTAATTTGCGTCTTCTCCTTCTCTCAGAAAGTAAATCCCATCCCTTTTCGTAATACAATGAACTGGAAGATGCATATCTTGGAAGACCAGTAACTATGCGCGCTGCTTCAAGTTGAAGTTTTTCTAATCTATTAGCTTGTTCAATTAAACATCCATCCCATACCTCGCATGCGTACTCAAAGTGTGGCCTTATGAATACAGTATATATTTTCGCTAGTGTTGTTCTATTTAATAAGAACTTTAATTTCCGAAATGATCCAATCATTTTAGATGTCTTTTTGATAATGTTTTCAATATGATGATGCCAGCTCCCGTTAGACGTGAAGATTAAACCCAGATGTTTATGAAAATCGACTGTTTTTATATTGCAGTTATCAAACTTCAAATTAATGTCTTTTTTGCCATCTTTCAAAGTAAATAATATAGCTTCAGTTTTTTCCGGATTGTAGGAAATTAACCAGACCTTTGCCCAATCGTTTAATATTTTTAGATTTTCATTCATGGCTCTTTCCATCACTTGTTTGTCCTTTGATAAAGTTCCCAGTGAAGTATCGTCAGCGAAAAGCCGAGTTATGCAATGTAGCTTATCAGCTATCTCATTTACATACACAATAAAAAGAAATGGGCCTAAAACTGATCCCTGGGGGAACTCCTGCTTTCAACACCATAGGCTTGGATAGCGACCCATTAACAAAGACTGATTGATTGCGATCAGTTACATAACTATTAAACCAATCAAGGAGTTTTCCACTGACTCCATACATCTCTAATTTAAGCATAAGCCCTCTGTGCCAAACTCTATCAAAGGCCTTTGATACATCGCAAAAGACCATACAATAGTATTCTTTGTTATCGAGTGATGTACAAATTTGATTATAAATTTCTACAAGTTGATGTACAGTAGAATGACCTCTCCGGAAGCCACACTGATATTTGTATAACAAATCGTTTGACACAAAGAAATTATAAACATGCTTAAACACAACTCTTTCAAACAACTTCCCAACGCAACTAAAAAGTGAAATTGGGCGATAGTTTGATACAACCGAATGGTCACCTTTCTTGAATAAAGGCATAACATTTGCATACTTCCATTGGCTAGGATACACACACAAATTTAGTGACATATTAAATAATATGCACAGGACTGGACTGATGGAATTAACAGTTTTTCTGAGTAATTGGTGACTAATCAGGTCTGGCCCAGCAGCTTTCTTAAGAGTAAGACATTTAATGATATCTGCAACCTCATTAACTTCGATTGTAATGTTTTCCAATACCGCATCGGTACGCTTGTCAAAATGTGGTAAACAAGTGGTATCTGCACCATTTAAATTAGATATAGACTCAAAATATTCATTTAACATATTTGCTTTATCAAAATCTGAAAAAGCTGATGGACAACCTTCATCTACATTTCTTTTCAATTTGATTTGTTGAAAGTCATTTCTAATTCAAAGTGGGGAAGGGATCAAGCTACCTCCCCACACAGTGGATATCAAACGACCGTCCGTGTAATACCAGTTTTGTTAAACGAGTTTATGATTTGGCATCAAACGAACGAGAGCGAGTTTGATTCTAAATCTTTCACGAGTTTAATAGGAATGGTATTTCACGGAAGCGAATTTAGTAATCTGTTTACTACTCTCCAACATAATTTGCTAGAAACTGCTTGCAGTGTGGTAAGTCTCAACTTTCCGCGAGTCACGCAATGTCTCATACCATTGTGACAGAGGTATTAGCATTGTGACGTCATAACTGTTAACCATTATGACGTCATATGTCTATATGTATTACACTAGTGTAATATTGCCGTAAAAGTATTACACTGCAGTATCTTACACAGACGACTAAAAAACATATATATGTAACAGGGTTGAACATATGTAGTAGCTTGTATTCATATTGATATTGTTTGGTGATAGATGTTAATTATAAGCTTTAAAATATTGTTAATTTCATAATGAGATAGACACCCTCAGTACCACTCATTTGGAGCCTCGCCACCTATGCAAGGCTAGCTCACAGTTAATATTTTCTACCAACTGTGCCGACTGGCTTAAAGTTTACAAAGAAGCCTTACAACTTCTCATTGGCTGTAAGTTGCGGTTGATGTTGTTCATTCAAGGCAAGGTGCTCAGTAATTTCATGCTGGCTGCCAACTTCAGGAGAAACATTTGTTTTGTCTTGAGGAAATTAAAGGTTATTTTTATGTATTACAATGTATTCTGATAAGGATAATAAGTACCCAAAAAATTCAATCTATTTTTGGTATTTTCAAGCATTAGTCTTAGATGTATGATATGTAATGTTGAGATAAAATGCTTTTCAATATCTCATGTATTTGTGTAAAACCATTGCTTTGAAAGTAATTTGTATTGCACTCAATATCATGATGTATTTTAAACTAGTGTCTTCTCGTAAAATACAATTGGTGTGTATAATTATACTTAATTATTTATTTTTGTTTTACATAGCATTTATATCTTTGTAAATAAGATACACACAAGTCCTTATTTTCAGATACAGAAATACCTGCTCT